CTAAGAGGAGGATCCAAAGTTCAAGGCCATAGATGAACTGGAGACTATCAGGCTAAGTGAAATAACCAATCTCAAAAAAACCCAAAGGCTGACCATTCTGATATGCTATGCTAACACACAATAAGGGGAGTGGATAAACATTCATTGGATTAGACAAAGGGGAATGAAGAGAGGGAGGATGGGAATAGAAAAGACAGTAGAATGAATCAGACATAACTTTTCTATGTTCGAATACAAATACACAATCATTGTAACTCCAGATTATGTACAACTACAAGAATGGGAAGTCATACTCCATGTATATATAAAATGTCAAAATACATTCTACTGTTACACATAACTAAAAAGAACAAATAAAAAAAATTTAAAAAGAAAAAAAAAAGTTCAAGGTCAGCCTCAGCAACTTAGTGAGACCCTGTCTCAAAATAAAAAAGGATGTGGGTCAGTGGTTAGGTGCTCCTAGGTTCAATCCCTGGTATCAATAAATAGATAAATAAATAGGGCTCATAGATAAATAAATAGTAGCTCATTGGTAAACTGTCCCTGGACTATATCTCCAGTACCCTTTCTTTACCTCCCCCAACAAAAGGAAGACACAGATACGCTTGGTTTTTTGCTGGTTACAGCTACTCTGAAGGCTGAGACAAGGATTGCAAATTCAAGGCTAATCTACATAATTTAGCAAGACCCCATCTCAAGATAAAATTTAAGAAAAAAGGGTAGGGATATAGCTCATAAGTAGTAATCTCCTGGCCTCATTCCTAAATACTGCTCTAAATAAATAAATAAATTAGAGGGCTGGGATTATGGCTCAGGGGTAAAGCGATAGCCTAGTACGAACTGTGGGGGGGGTGGGGGGTGGGGTGGCTCCGGGCCAGTTCGATCCTTAGCACCACATAAAAAAAATAAAGACATTATGTTGTGTCCATCTACACCTAAAAATAAATAAATAAATAAACATTTAAAAAATAAATTAGAATCAATCCTCAACTGTGAAATTTCTCAACTAATTCATCAGGAGTATTAACAGTGCCCAAATTAGTCATCTACTCTTTTAAGAGCAGACAACTCATCTCCAGAAGCCCCCAACAACTCAAAAAACAAAACGTGAACAACACAAGTGGGACAGTGGCCTTTTAATCTGAATTGTCTTCTTCAGAATGTTGTCGATTTTTACATATTTTATCCTATCTCTTCATAAAACTCCAGTTTTATGAAGAGATAGGATAAAATATGTAAAATTCATAACACTTCAGTTTTCCTAAAAATCATCAGCCTGTGCCCTCAGATCACTGTCTATGCTCTCTACCATCTCTTCTTCCCTCTGCAGCTGAGGTATCAGGTCAGGCCATTTCTGGCTTCTCCATCAGCTGTAGGCTGATAGAACAGGACTGTGCTTCTGCACCCATACAGTGCCTTACATGCAACAGACATTGTTTAACTCACAGAAAGAACTGGCTGTCTTGGAGTGGGGAAAGCCAGTGTGACTCTGCCCCTACATCTGTCATTTTGTTTATCTCATTTTCTTTGACTGCATACTAGGTCCAGGCTCTGATGCTTGGCAAACTTTTTGTCCTTCACAAACTGACTCAAACACTCCCCTGGGAAACCTTTTCAGACACTTCCTCACCACCACATTTTTACTCTCTCCTTTATCTCCTGCACATCACTGTCTATATCAGGCCTGTGACAACAAACTAATTCTGATGAAATCTGTCTCGTGACTTCTGCACCCTAAAGGAAGCAAACAAACTGATCACCTCAACAGGCCAGGCATTTTCCTACTGCCTTATTTATCATGATGGCACAGGTGCTAGAAAGGCCCAGTATCTTCCTAGGTGGTGTGAAAACCACAAACTGTTTTTCCTCTTTGTTTTTTAAGTTTCTAATTTAGGAGCACAATGTGTACCTTGAAGCAAAAGTGGCTTTACAACATTTGGTTGAACTTAGGAAAAAGGGTGAGGGGAAGGGAACTCTAACCAGAAACCTTTCACAGGAAACAGGAAGTGGTGGCTTCCCCACCCCCATCCTGCATTCTCAGAGCATAACCCAACTAGTTATTCTGTACAATTTAGGCAAAAGGGTAGAATCTCAATCAAGGAATTTTTTACTATGAAGAGTACTTCAAAATCACAAATGTATCTCTGCCAAAATAAAGGAGGCATGTTATTATAAGGTGGAAAGGCCAAAACCCAACTCAACCCAGCCCTTGAAGGGCACTCTTGGTGAAGCCTCACCAAGACAAGATTTGGAATCCCAGGGATTGTCATCAGGAATGCACTGAATGCCCTGCAACCTTAAGGGGCTCTTGGTTGGAATTTAAGCCTGAATTGTCCAAGTGTAACAGCTGACTAACAATGTCAGCTGGGGAATATTTTCATACCTTCAAATTTGACCCCACATAGGAAGAGGCTTCACAAAAAGCTCTGACCATGGAGTGCTAAGGAATGGTGCGCCAAGGCCCCGTGTGAAAGCACAGGCTGCCCACATTCTCCTCATAGTGAGATAAAGTGGCTCCCAAAAGAGGTTTCCAGATCCACACCAGTGGGCACCATCAGAACTGACTCCAGGGAAACTTCCAGCTGTGAATGACTAACAAAGCAAAGGCTCTCTCCATCTGAATGTAAAAGACACGCCTCAATCAGAGAAGGCCCTTAAGCCGTTAAACCTTTCACACCAAGGCCAAGTGTCTCACTTGTAAGAGGGTGTGATTTATAAACTGATAGCACCCACAAAGCTGCTTTTGTAGTCCTCATAGTGTGTTAACAATTTATCTCCCCCACCAAACTCCCAGAGCTATGCAGATAAAGCTTGACTGGGTCTTAAAAAAAAAAGAAAGAAAAGGACTCAAGCTTTGGCCAAAACACCAATGTTCACTTTGGATAATTATGGTCCTGTGAATAGACACTAAAATTAGGGCTTAATAATTCCTCTGTATCACAAGCACAGCATCAAGCTATTCCAATACAAACACAAAAAGCAAAAGAAAGAAAATCTCCAGCGCTGCCTTGCTGAAGCCTCTAAGAGTTCCACTTCTGCGGTTTTCTGCAGTCTCTTTTGTGGTTTCTGCACTCTTTAGAATCCCCCCCTTTAGAGCAATTTTAACTTGACATTCTGACCAGCTGTTTTTTCTTTCTCAACATTTAAATCTACAAAGCAGAGTAAATATGGACTTGGTCATATCTTTCCTCTCACTCCAACAAAACCAATTCTGGCCACTTCAAATCACTCTCCCCATCCCATGATACCCTTTTTCTTAAATTCCAGCACAAGTTACGGAAACCATTGACTTCTGATCTCTTTCCTATTCCTTTCAATAAAAGGAATCTAATTATTGCACCAAATCCAAACAGGCTATGCTCCTAACATAAACCACATAAAAGTATGTAGATCAGTGATGAAGCATTGGCCTTGCATGTGCACAGGCCCCAGGTTCTATCCCCAGCATGTCCATCCCCACATACAACATACATGATAAATGTACATGTGTATGCATATTTGCACATATACATATCTATACAACTGATAACATCTGTCAACACTGAATGTTTTTCTTATTAAAGGTTTTTGGCGAAAGAAGAGAGAAAAAAAAAAAACAGCCAAGGGTTTGGGATTGTGGCTCAGCAGTAGAGTACTTGCCTAGCACATGTGAGGCATCTTCAGCACCACATAAAAATAAATAAAGATTGGGGTAGGGTTGTGGCTTAGTAGTAGAGGGCTTGCCTCGCACATGCGGGACCCTAGGTTCAATCCTCAGCACTACATAAAAATAAATAAGTGAAATAAAGGTATTGTGTCCAACTACAATTAAGAATAAATAAATAAGATACTGTGTCCAACTACAACTGAAAAAATAAATACTTAAAAAAAAAAAAAAAGCCAGCCAAGCATGGTGGTGGCACACCTTTGATCCTAGCTATTGGGATGATTGAGGCAGCATGGGCAACTTAGGGAGGCTCTGTCTCAAAATTTAGAGGGGAAAAAATGAGGCTATAGCTCAGTAGAAAAGAAAATTTTTTTGTATAAAAGTAATGGCTTCTGCTCAAAACCATATATCAGAGGTTAAAATCTGTGGCCTATGTACCAAATAAGCCACACAGACATGTTGTTTGACCTCCAGGGTATTTACCAGAATAGCATTCAAAGCAGATTGAGTATGTACCGTATACAAAAATCTGTATTTCTGACTTTTTTTTTTTTTAAGTACCAGGTACTGAACCCAGGAGTTTTTTTTTTTTTTTTTTTTAAACATTTATTTTTTAGGTGTAGATGGACACAATACAATGCCTTTATTTTTATGTGGTGCTGAGGATTGAACCTGGGTCCTGCCTGTGCTCTACCCCTGAGCCACAATCCCAGCCCGAACCCAGGAGTTCTTAATCACACAGTCACATCCCTAGATCTTTTTATTTTTCATGGTTTTTCATGGTAGTGAACACCTGTAATCCCAGTTACTAGGAGGCTGTGGCAAAAGGTTCACAAGCTCAGGCTGAACCAGCACCCTTGTAAATCACTGTGTTAAAATAAAAAATAAAAGGGCTGGGGACAGGGATGGGGTTGTGGCTCAGTGGTAGAGCGCTCCCCTAAGCATGCATGAGGCACTGGATTTGATCCTCAGCACCACATAAAAACAAAGTAATGTATCCACCTAAAACTAAAAATACATTTAAAAAAAAAAATATATATATATATATATATATATTTTTTTTAAAGGGCTGGGGACAGAGCTCAAGTGGTATAGCACCCTTGAGTTCAATGCCCAGTATTGAGGGGAAAACATTCACCTCTGGAACTGGACCCACATTTCCTCATGGCAACAGCCATCTGGCACTAAGCAGCAGCATATCCCATTACATGGTGTAAGGGTAAGTAAGCATGGGCTTTCTCCTCAAGACTGCTCAACCGAGCTTATTTCTCTCATTTACAAATGTAAAAAGGCCCATTGGATCCTCTAGAAGTCCCCATGGCCTCTAACCTCTGCTCCCCCACATTATAAGTACCTTTTTGACCATAGTTGTCTCAGATGAATCAAGTTTTGCTCTCTTGGTATCAGGTCCATCTTCTACTCCTTGGCTAACTTTGGCAACTTTGGTTTTCTCCCTAGAGGGTGACAAAGGGAGTCTACCCTGTGAATCATGCCAGTAAAATAAAAAATGTTACCAGTTCGCAGAGTATGTAACAGCAAAAGCTTTGGGGTCAGACAGGCCAGGGTTCAAATCCCGTTCTGCCACTTATTTATCTGATAAGTCACCGACTTTGTAGGAACAGCAATTCCTGACACCACAACTGTGAGAAGAGAAATAGCATAAATTGTTCAGCACACTGCCCAAAACATACAAGCTCCCAATAAGTCAAAGTGATTCGTGACCTGCTTTTCACTACTATGACATTATCTACTTATTACATACCTACCCAAGGAACTAGATAGTTTTTTTTCCTTTTTCTTTTTTTTTTTTGCTCCTAACATAAACCACATAAAAGTATCCTCCTGGACTGGAGATGTGGCTCAAGCTATGAAGCATTGGCCTTGCATGCACAGGCCTAGGGTTCTATTCCCAGCATGTCCACTCCCACATAAAACATACATGATAGATGCACGTGTGTATGCATATTTACACATATATGTATCTAGTGACTGGGGTTTGAACTCAGGGGCACTCAACCACTGAGCCATTGAGTTGCTTAGTGCCTTGATTTGCTGAGGCTGGCTTTGAACTCGCAATCCTCCTGCCTCAGCCTCCCAAGATGCTGGGATTATAGCCATGCACCACCGCACCTGGCTCTTTTTTCTATTCTTCTTTCCTTTTCCCCCCCCCCTGTGAAGATTGAACCCAAAACCTTGAAAACGTAGGTAGGTTAAGTGTTCTACCACTGAGCACCATCCCCAGCCAAAGTATATTCCTAAAATCACATAATGCTAGAGATATATTGAGTGTTGGTCTTTTCCCTACTTGGATTTTATAGGCCAGAAATCTGCATATCAGAGAAGGTTTAGCAACCTGCCTGAAACGCTGAACAAAAGAGAGCAGTTCTTGGGCTCTTGCTAGGAAGCTCCACCCCACCGGGCCTCTCTTTAGGGAGTTGTTGAGGGAGGAAGGGAAACTGGTTAAAATTTGTGGCCTATGTATCAAATAAGCCACACAGACGTGTGTGTGTGTGTGTGTGTGTGTGTGTAACTAGTCCAAAAAACCCAACTCACAATTTTTTATACTTTGGCTGAATGTGCCTCCAAGAGAACCCATCTAACTATGTGTACTCAGTTTAGGGTACAAATGTTTACAATCCAAGCAAGCCTTCCCTATGCAGAAAATGTGGGTTCAACACATGAAGTCTGGACTAATCAAATACCCAGTGGTGTACTTTATCACAGAACTCTGCTTGCTTTAGGCTTTAAAATTAGACCATTTTGGAGTGCGGAGGCTGTATCTTCTATAATTCTGAACTCACAATCCACTGTGTTCAGTAATAATTGTTAATGGCTTGCTTTCAGACTATTTTGAGTGGTAACAGTAAGATACTTGCCTTACATTCCTTTTTTCCTACCAGTATATAAAACTAAATTTTGAAAATACCTTTTTTTCTTTTTCTGTTCCAACACTTACTCTACAAATTCATGCTCTCCAAGATTGGCAAATGTATATCCATGGTAGCCAAAAACATCTCCTGTGAAGAACTTGATGCTGTTTTTGTGGCAGATCTGGTCAACTTTAACTATGACATCCCTAGAGCAGCAAGTTAAGCATACCTGCAAAAAGAAAGTCTGGGTGTGAGTTTTGCAAACTGTGACTCATTGCCGTGATGTATACATAAATCTTAATGAACAGTCTTTCCCGACATGTTTGAAGCCAGTTTCAAACTGGTACAACAGGTTCTTTGAGTGCTACAGTTAGAATACAAAAGAGAAGCTGCAGGTTTTAGTACATTTTCTATGTGGGCTGGGGCTCAGCATCTAGCACACTTGCCTGGCATGTGTGAGGTACTAGGTTCGATTCTCAGCAACACGTGAAATAAATAAAGGACTATCTAACTGAAAAAAAAAAGAAAATGTAAGTTATGTGATGGTCACTTTATGTGACCAAAAAGAAATGTGTTTAGCTAGAAAGGAAAAACCATTTAGGAAACACTTGCCCTGGACTGGGGGATATAGCTCAGTTGGTAGAGTGCTTGCCTCGATGCACAGGGATGCTGGGTTCAATCCCCAGCACTACCCCCCCCCAAAAAAAAAAAAAAGGAACGCTTCCCCTAATCCACAAACATATAAAAACCACATTTCATTGTTTACATAAAAAAGACAGTGATAACTTACCAAGTTATTTCTAAACCATTAGTTAAATCTATTAAAATCTAAGTAAGTGGTAAAAGAAAAACTGGGCTGGGGTTGTGGCTCAGCGGTAGAGCACTTGTCTAGCATGTTTCGAGGCCCTGGGTTCGATACTCAGCACCATATAAAAATAAATAAATAAAATAAAAGCATTGTGTCCAACTACAACTATAAATAAATAAATAGATAAACATTTAAAGAAATAAAACTAATTTTTTCATAGCTGTAAACGGACAGTGTGCCTTTATTTTTATGTGGTGCTAGGGTTCAAACCCAGTGCCTCACGCATGCTAGAGAACCATGGGAGCTATGATCCCAGACCCAAAACTAATTTTTTTAATTGATCCAGAGGTTATTTTCAAATACGCGGGTTTTTGTCTCTTTTCTTTTTTTACTTTTCCCCCACACTGGGGATAGAACCCAGGGCACTCATCTCTGAACTACCTCCCCAAACCTTTTTTTTTTTTTTTTTTTGAGACAAGATCTTGCTAAAGTTGACTCCTCCAGCTTCCTTTTTTGATTGATATTTTAAGACAAAGAAACAAGTCACATTGGAATTATTTGTCCACAGTTTGCTGGAAGAAACTTTATCAAAGTAAGGACAAAAGAAAAAGGTTACAGACCAAGTGACCTTCTCTGACTTAAGGCAGTAAACCGGTGCTCTGCATCCTCTGGGTTGTTTACCAATAAATAGGTATTGGAAATGGCCAAGTTCTACTGCACAAAACTCTATCTTTTCAGGAGAAGCTCTGTGATCACCATCAAAAGACAACTTCCAAATCGCACATGCTTTCTCCTGAACACAAGGCCATTTTCAGTTGACAGACACTCTTTGCCTGGAAACTGAAATAATGCTCAGAGAAATGTGTTCCTTTGGTGTTTCAAAAGAAGTAGTTATCCAAGGAAAAAAATCACATCTGAAAGGTAAGAAAGCCACAGAGGACACACACAAACAATTGATTAAACGGAACCCTGCAGAGTCAAAAGTGACTACAACCCCTGCCAGGAGCAGCCAAACAGGGCCCAAAGAGACAATCACTCTCCCTGTGCAGGTACACAGCACTGGCCTCATGCATCTGTTCTAAAAAAAAAAAAAAAATCTCTCTACATCTACAAGTTTATGGGATAACTGAAATAAACCGAATCTGAACTATGGATGAGAAAATTTTAAAAAGACTTATGTCCAAATCGAAGATATCATATTACCAACAACTACAAAATAAAAGGAATTGGTAAAAAAAGGAAAAAAGACAAATGCACAGATGATCCAACATTCTGAGCCCATGTCTGAACAGATACATGCAAGCTATAAAATATAGCAGTGTGAAAAACAAACTACCCAGGCCAAATTCTAACCTTTTACGTAAGGTAATCATTTCAGTTACCTGAATTGTTAAGTTTTCCCAAGGTACACGGAATTATGCCTGAAAGGTCACAGATACCGACATAGATTTTAACTTATCCTCTTGCATCTGCATAGATAGATTCAGCAGTGAAAGCAGATGAGGCTGGATAGGATTCATTTGGCTTATGATTATGGTGATTTTGTCTAGTTATCCATGAGCAAAAAAAAAAGACAGACATAAACCAAGATCAAGATCAGGTGTATTCTTTCCTAAGACAAAACACAAGCTACAGTTTCGTATTTCTAACAATAAAATGCCACAGAAATTAATCAACAACTTGTTAAGTTTTCAGGGGCAAATATTTGCGATACACGCAGATTCTAGAAAGAAGACAGAACACCAATCCTGAAATCTGGTCTAGGGAAACACATGCCCAGAGAAGCCAGCAGACGGCAACGTCACAAACAGCCACAGCAGGTCCAACAGATTGGACCTACTGGCAACACACTCGTGAAAGGTACTAAGCTTAAACAACAGAACAGCTTATAAATTTACTTGGGAAATAGCTCAGAATTTGAGATTAAACCCTCTAGAATACCTGTAAATAGTGCTTAAATTTGCTTAATTCCCACAGGCTTTACAATAAGAAACTTACAGCATCAAATTGAGTGAAAAATGACTCAGGTTTCTTCTCTATATCCTCAGTGTCCACCTTCACATCTACCATGGGGTTGAGATTCTGGGCTCGCTCCAAAGAGGCTTCAGCCCTATTTCGGCCAACAGACCCAGTACGAATCAGGAATTGAGCTCTGGGATCTTCTGGAGATACCTGGGAATAAATATTTTTTCTTAATGCTTGAATTTTCCTTGAAAACAAATCTCAAAGACAGTGAACTGATTTGAGACAACAGCTAAAATACTTACCATCAAATTGTACGGCTCCTATAATAATCAGCATAATGCAGAGACCCTACTCTTAATTCCTTCTGAGATTATTTTTTCTTTTTATATTTTTTAATATTTTTTTAACATGTCCCTCAGGTCTCCATTTGAGAAGTTTTGTTAAACTCACTGACACCCAGACCAGGGCAATACTGCCCTACCTGGTGGCTCAGTATTAGCATGGCAACTCATCACTGGGACTCCTTCCATTTAAACAGGACATTTTAATGGTTTTTAATTGGTCATTGATGGTTAAATAGCACCCCCTTGTGTTCATAAGGGAAATTCACTCAGGAACAGAAAAGTCCATGCTTTTTTCCACTTAAATCTGCTTAAAAATTTATAACCACTGTAACAATTACCAATGGTAAGAATTGACTAAGTACCTATCATGTGCCCAACCTTAAGCATTCATGGAAACATTAGGTAGTTTAAAGGATGCAGTCCCTGTCTACAAAGGATTTAAAAACAATGCAAAAGGGGCTGGGGATGTGGCTCAGTCGGTAGCAGTAGCGTGCTCGCCTGGCATGCGTGTGGCCGGGGTTCGATCCTCAGCACCACATAAAAACAAAGATGTTGTGTACGCCGATAACTGGAAATTAAATATTAAAAAATTCTCTCTCTCGCTCTCTCTTAAAAAAAAAAACAATGCAAAAACCAGACATAATTAAGAATACTTAAAATGAACTTTTAAATTCAATTCAAACTCAGGAGGAAAGATGAGTGGGGACTAGAGCAGAGGAATTTTACCATACGGCTGGATGTCAACACATTAGAGCCTCAAATATAGAATACTGTAACTCCCTGATAGCCAGAGGGATTACAGATTCCATACAGCTCACAAAGCATTTTTTCACACACCACAAACATCTAATTGAACTCTTACTCTGCAAAAGACTTCGCCACCTTCATTGAAACTAGGTTGAACAGAAGTAATCTCCCTTCATCTCCTCCTACTAAATATCCAGGTACACACACTTCCTTACTGTCTTTCCTCCAAGAAAATGAACTGGCCCTTCTCCCACTCCAGATCAACCCTCTAACAGTATCTTTTGACCCATCCCCTCCTCTTTCTTCAGAGATCTCTACATTGAGAGGCTAGATATCACAGTGGTTAAGAGCAAAGACTCTGGAATAATTCAGGTTTTGTTAAAACCTTTAATTCAAATCCTGGTTCAACAACTTACTGTATGTCCTTGAGAAAAGTATGTGAGATTCACAAGTAAAATGAAGATGTTAATAAAAAACCATAAAACTCATTAATTCCTCCATCAGTGCCAGTCATTATTATTGTCAGTCCAAAGAGCACAACTTGCTTACAACTTTCTACTTGTCCTCTGTCCTCTCAGACCCTCCTCTTCCTTCCCTTTTTTTCCTGTCCCTATTTGCCCCTAAGTTTTCATCTCGAAACCATTCATCTTTTCACTTTGTATACAGTTCCATAAACCATCTCTATTATCTCTATTATCAAGGTCTTTACTCAAATCCCTTGTGCCTCTCACCTACATTACTAAAAAAGCCTTATAAGTTATTTTCCCTGTACCCTGTGCTAATCATAGTTCTACCCAGATTGTTCTAGATCTAAATTAGTGATCTACCTGAATAATGTCTATTTTGCCAAGTGTGATGGCGCATGCCTGTATTCCCAAAGGCTTGGGAGGCTGAGGCAGGAGGATTGCCAGTTCAAAGCCAGAAACTCGGGCTGGGGTTGTAGCTCAGTGGTAGAGCACTTGCCTAGCATGTGTGGGTTCAATTCTCAGCACCACTTAAAAACAAAATAAAGGTATTGTGTTATTTAAAAAAAAAAAAAAAAAGCCAGCAACTCAGTGAGACCCTCTCTCTAAATAAAATACAAAACAGGGCTGGGGATGTGGCTCAGTGGTCTAATGCCCCCATGTTCAATCCCCAGTACCCACCCCCCAAAAAAAGTATTTGTATTTTTATTAGTGACGAAGCCCAAAGCCAACCAGGTTAAGTTCTCTTTACATCTGAATCTAATGAATCCACAGCACCTGGGGAACTAAGTAAAAGTTTGAGTTGGGCTTCACAGCAGGACTTTCTGACATCAACTTTACATGTGATCTGCCCCTGCTTGCTACCACTTTGGATCTTGTACTCTAAAAACACCAAAATGCTTGTTATATTCCATTTCTAAGATGTTGTCAGACACTTCTATGCCACTTTAATGTTCTCTGCCCTAAAAACCCATCAACTTGATAAACCCTTTCCTTGTTCTTAGCTCAGATTGGAACTCCAGGAGACCTTTCATGTCCTACTACTACCATCTAAGTCCAGTTTTTTTGGAAAAAAATTGAGAATGGGAATTAAACTGTGAGCATTTTTCTCTTGCCAGCACCTAGGAGACTTCATGGTACTGAGCAGATACTCTCATCAGATGCTTATCAATTTTATAAACTAAATAAAAAGTTCTGTCAACCCCTTGAACTAACCAATAATTCTTTTCAGATTCTTTTTTTTTTAAAGAGAGAAAGAGAGAGAATTTAATATTTATTTTTTAGTTTTCAGCGGACACAACATCTTTGTTGGTATGTGGTGCTGAGGATCGAACCCAGGCCGCATGCATGCCAAGCAAGCGCACTACCACTTGAGCCACATCCCCAGCCCTCTTTCCAGATTCTTTCCCGCCACTTGACACACTAATCATGTTTTAGAGTTGTTATTTTATTTTCCCGCGGTGTGTGATGATTTGCTAAGAGATGCTATGATGTATGCGGGAGTCCCTGCCTTCTCCAAAGAATGTATAAAACTGCTGCAAACCCTGGGCTCAGGGCCTCTCAGCGTCACCTGTTGCCGTGTGGGCGTGGAGGACGGAGCTAGCTCGAAATAAACACCTCTTTGCTGCTTACATGGGGGGGGGGTGAGTTCTAAGAGAATTTTATTTTATTTTTTATTATTTTTTTTTAAGAGGAAAGAGAGAGAGAGAGAGAGAATTTTAATATTTATTTTTTAGTTTTGGACACAACATCTTTGTTGGTATGTGGTGCTGAGGATCGAACCCGGGCCGCACGCATGCCAGGCGAGTGCGCTACCGCTTGAGCCACATCCCCAGCCCCTCTAAGGGAATTTTAGAGATGAGCAAACTGAGTCTGAGATGTTGACTTGAACCTTTCTACATGATTTCAAAGCCTTTGCATTTTGCAACACTGCCTCCCTAGGGTGTTCTTAGTGATAACAAAGACAGCAAGAAGCACATGGATATGATAAATATACTTTGGTATTAGAAGTATATGCATAGATGGGCTGGGGATGTGGCTCAAGCGGTAGCGTGCGTGCAGCCCAGGTTCGATCCTCAGCACCACATACTAACAAAGATGTTGGGTCCACCGAATAACTAAAAAATACATATTAAAAAAAAAAAGTATATGCATGGAGCTTAAATAATGAAAACAAGGAAGAGGTACCGCAGCAGAAGGGTAAACAACCATGATGTGTTCATGAATTTATAAATTTATCTGATTAAGAAAGACAGTGCCCACCCCTTCCAGGAGGCTGAGGCAGGAGTACTGCAAGTCTGAGGCCAGCTTTGGCAAGTCAGTGAGACCTTTTTTCAAAATGAAAACTGAAATAAAAAGAGCTAGGGATGTAGCTCAATGGCAGAGCATCCCTGGGTTAATTCCTAGTACTAGAAGAAAAAAAATTTTATCTGATGGGAGTCTGGCTTGGTAAATTAAGAACAAGATATATGAAGTCAGTGGCTGTTAACCCACCATGACTATTAGATTCACCTAAAGAACTTTATTTTTATTTTTTTAATTATTTTTTAAATGTTTATTTTTGAGTTGTAGTTGGGCACAATACCTTTATTTCACTTATTTATTTTTACGTGGTGCTGAGGATTGAACCCAGGTCCCGCACATGCGAAGCGAGTGCTCTACCACTGAGCCACAATCCCAACCCCAAGAACTTTATTTTTAAATAACTCCTCAGGTACTCTCAAGTACATATGGATGAGAACCACCAGATGCAGGTGGAAGGCCCCACAACACTCCAAGCAAAGAGATAAAGGATGTCAATAAGTCTGCACATTTCAACACTGTCCTGATATGGTATCAGAACCACACCCCACACCTCTCAATATATAATTACGCGCCCTATTCTAAATGCCTAAACCAGATGAGGAAGTTTCTGTGTCCAACTGGTTTCATTTTCCCATGCCCAGAACTGCTACTGTTAGGTAGTATACTTCCTTAGATCTCAGCTTTTATCCTCTCCATAAACAGCAGTCTTCCTCAGGACAAGGTGCTTCAGCCTCTAGAGGGCAGCATAGTTAGGGAAATAATTCTGTTTCTTGTCCCCTGCCCACTCCTGGCACCTTCCTCCCAGGAATTTTTTTCCTTAGGATTTTTAAATTAAATTCAAAAACGCTGGGCACCATGTCAGTAATCCCATCAGCTTGGGAGGCTGAGGCAGGAAGATGGTGAATTCAAAACCAACCCTAGCAATTTAGCAAGACCTTTTCTCTAAATAAAATTTTAAAAAAACTGGAGAGTGGTGCCGGGCTGGGACTCACTGGAAGTGCACTTGCCTGGCATGTGTGAGGCACCGGGTTAGATTTTCAGCACCACATATGAATGGATGAATGAATAAATGAAGGTCTATCAATAAGTAAAAAAATATTTTAAAAAAAGGGCTGGGAATGTGGTTCAGTGGTTGAGTGTTCCTGGGTTCAATCCCCAGTGCCAAAATAAATAAATTAATACAAGCAGATAAATTTAATTCAAAAACCAATCTGTGGCTGTAATATTAAGTGAGCCAACCTATGTTTCTCTTCACTTTATAGTATAATTTTTAAAAAATAATGCCAGGTATTCCTGAATACTCACATAAGATTGGCTTTTAAATTTTTCTTTTTTTTTTTTTTTTTTTTTTTTTTTTTTTTTTTTTTTTTTTTTTT